CTACATGGGCCTTGGTTTTCTACTTTAAAAAATTAGGCACAAAATAATCACCAACCTCACATATATTCTTTAAGGGGTAAATGAGATTTAAATTGCTTAATATGGGACCAGTACCTTAATAAGTGATCAGAAATATTACCTGGAAAAAATATTATATTTTTCCAGTGGTGTTATCTTTGTGATTATTTTGTTCCTTTTAATACTTTTCTGCTTCAGTGTCACCCAAGTCTCTTCATTCAGTGAGTTACTCTTACCATCTTATTTTTTAAAAATGCCTTCTATTTCTTATAATTCACCACTCTTTTTATAACTTTTCTCTCTTACCTACACCCAACAATCTTATATAATAGGCAAGTTTGCTTTGAAGCTAATGAGGCTTAACCTTCAGAAATCCGCACTTTATGGGTACCTTATTAGATAATAGGAGGAACTCCAGAAATTAGTTGATGTCACCATATGCTTTAGAAAAAAATTTTAAAGTGATCTATTTTAACTTTAATTAGGTAAGACCACTGTCTTATCTTTTCCAATTTTCTTTCCATCATGTTACTTTGGTATTGGATCATACTAGAATGGTCATAGGTTTTTTGGGTGTCTGGCTAAAGGAAAGTTTGAGTTGAATCTATTATGTGATTTAACAATACCATGTATAATGAAGTATTTATTGTTCTTTCATTGGAATGGCTTCCAGAAACACTCCTATAGCCCACAGGACTGATTTAACTGGGACTAAAATGTGAAGACACAAGGACAAAGGCAATTTTGCAAAATAGCTATGTCTTATACTTCGTACCTCTGAAAGCATGTAAGGTTGAAGAAGAAAAAAAAATGGAAAATTTTGAAGCCAGAAACTGTTCTGTAGAAAATTATTTGAATTATCCCACATAAAGTAAAAATAAAAAGTTGGTTCTCATCAATGCTTAGTCAAAACAGACATTTTCTCCTGTCAAAAATATAATTATCAATAATGGAGTGTGTGTGTGTGCATGTGTGTGTGCATGTGTGTGTGTGTGTGTGTAGTGAGACTTGTATACTGCATAAACATGCAGTGGTGCTTAAATTACTAATGCATTTACAACTGTACAGTATTTATGAAAAAGTAATCTATAGATTATTCAAATATAAAATCAACTAATAATAATTAGACATTATGATAATAAATTATGAATCTGAAATAAACTTTTCTAAATTAGTAATTGAAAGCAAATTCTAATCAGCCATAAGAGAAATCTATGTATATGAAATATATAGTTTATTCCTTAGTATATATAGAGAGAAATATTATAAAGCAATTGTTAAATAAAAATTTCTACTTAAAAAGTAGAAAAAAGTTTTCAGAGATATGCCAAGTTGTTAAATTTTTATTTTTTTCCAGATTTTGTGATGTCTGTGATATTTGACAGCATTTTATAATTTGTAATTTGAAGAGCTTCCAGTTTCAGTTAGGATGAAATATTTTGACCACTGAGAAAGCATAAAACAAATAAATTGACTAACAATCAAAAAGTTTTAAGCATACCAAGAGTAAGAATTATATGGCTAAAATTAAAAGAGAAGAATAGCCAATAGAAAGAGATTTGAACATGATATTTGTGTTATGAATCAGAGACTTTAATTGGGATTAACATGGTCAAGGAAGTAAAGATAGAAAATAAGTAAAAAAATAAAGAATTTTACAAAATAATTGAAATGTATAAAAAATAATCAAATGGGCAGTCTAAAACTGAAAGCACAGCTAAACTTTAGAGTTAATAGGTTGATTTATTAGCAGAAAATGTGATTATAGAACAAGCTGGTCTCTCGGAGGACAAAGAGGAAAAATACAAGTAGAAGTATAAATAGGCTTGTGAGATATGGGGAAATAGTTGAACAGAAAGATTTTTTAAGTTTGAAACAGAAAAGAGAATGAAGCAGAAGATATATTCAAGGCTAAAATGACCAAAAGTTTTCCAAAATTGATTAAAACCTGTAATACACAGATTCAATCAGTTATGAAAATCCCGAGTAGAATAAGTAGAAAGAGAATTACATCTAGGCCATTGAAATAACCACTAAAACCAAAGAAAAAAAATTGTAAACATCTAGGAGGAAGGCATGATGAGAGAGGATGACACAGAGCTTTCAAATTAACAGCAAAAAATAGTAGTAATAACATTTGAGTTCTGTAGAGACCATGGAGGCCATATGGAAACACATTTTATATTAAAATAATTTGTAAAGTGTCAAACTGGCATTCTGTACCAACAACAAGTTTTTAAGATAGAATTAAGATCATTTCAGACCAAACTATTAAGAGAATTTATTATGACCAATTCTTTAGTGAAAGAAATATGCAAGGAGTTATTGTGAAAGAAAAAAAAATCTCAGAAATGTAAAATACAGGAAAAATGGGCAAATATGTTAATAAGAGTTGTCAATGGATTTTGACTATATAAACCAAAAAAAAATCTCATAGATTTTAAAATATGTTTAGGCTAAAATACATTGAACAAAATAAAAGCACAGCAAAGGGATAAAAAGTTAAAGTGTTAGAAAGTTATAGATTTATAAAGAAACGGTAAAAGAAAAATAAAGTATAGTAGCCCAAGTTTTCATGTTATAATACCTATAATAGTCATGTAAAGCAATTTATAAAAATAAAAGATTAAAATTTAAAATGTGAAAGAAAGTAAAATTTTAAAACCTTTCATTAATTCAGTGTGAACAAGACAAACACATAGAAGAACCTCAAAACATTGGAGGATGAAAAATAAATATGTTAGATATTGATCCAAACATTTCAATAATAACAAAGCAATAAAAGAAATAAATATACCATATATAAGACTAAGACTGTAATACCTGAATTACAAATAAACAAGAAGTTTTATTTGTTGTTTAGAAGTGACTCATTTTTATTATAAGGATCCACAATGATTATAAACAAAAGGATTAAAAATAATACACTATGCCAAAAAATTGCAGGAAAAAGGGAATATAAAAACAACATTCAATGCTAATATCAAAGTTAACTTTCAAAAATGGAATTACAGACATAAGTCATAGTGATAAAGGTGAAAATATGCCATGTCCTAGTCCATTTTCTGCTGCTGTAACAAAATACCTGAAACTGGGTAATTTATAATAAACAGAACTTGATTGACTCATGATTCTGGAGGGTAGGGTGTCCAAGATCAAGGGACAAACATTTGGTGACAGCCTTTTTACTGCCCCACCCCATGATAGAAGGCAGAAAACTAAGAAGGAATGAAAGTGGGAGAACAAAAGGCATGTACCCACATCCACAATAATGATATTAATTCATTTATGAGGGTGGAGCCCTAATGATCTAAACATCTCTTAAAGGTCCCACCTCCCAGTACCATCACAATAGCAATTAAATTTCAATATGAGTTTTGAAGAAGACAAACATTCAAACCATAGCATACCAGGAATATTAAAATTCTAAATCTTTAGGCACTCAGTCAATTAGATTCACCAAATATAAAGCAAATATTACAAAACTGAAACAAAAAAATAAGCAAATCAACAATCTTAAAAGATTTTATTACATTTCTCTCAAAAGCTGATAGAACAGACAAAATATCAGTTAATATATGAAAGATTTTTTTAAAAATTAAATTGATCTAATTACATATGTAAAACTGTGCAGACAACTCATATACAACACACACGTTTTGCAAGTGCACATAAACCATTACCAACTTTAAATTACATCATTTCAGAAATTGTGTAAACACATTTTGATTGAAATCATTCACAGTAAATTATTTGACCACAGTAGATTTAGGATAAAAATTAATGATTCAAATACAACTAGGAAATCCTCACGTTCTTGGAAATTAAGTGATAAACATCTATAAAAAAAAATAACAGGAAAACCATCTGATTCAAAGATAAGATAACACCAGAAATAACCAAATGTTTTAAACCAAATGATAGTAACGACAGAACCTATCAAAATTTGTAAAATTAAATATGACCCCCATTAGAATAAGAATGTAGAGTCTTAAATGCATGTAGAAAAAGATGATAAACTTAAAATCAGTGTTCAAATTTTCTACCTAAAGAAGGTAAAAAGAAAAAGAACATTAAATCAAACCCAAAGAAAGCCAAAAAAAAAAAAAAAAGGTGGGGGGACTATTAGAAAACCTGTCTGGTTTTTAAATCTATGAAAATCTGTGAAACAACAATTTTCAGATGCTGACCAACAGGCTGCACAATACTCTCATCCCAGAGGTGAGAGGAATAAACTAAGAGAGCTCTATGCCTGCACTAGCTTATTTCTTGGGGTCAGTTTCCAGACTTTTGTGTAGGAAGAGGAAATAAAACAAAGCCTGAGAGAATTGTGGACTTGAAAAGATAGAGATCTTATCTCAAGGAAGCCAAAGAAGCTGGAATTTGTGGACTCAACTACCAAAAAAGAGAGAACTGAACTGACTAGGGCTCTGAAGATGTGTAGTAAGGATGTCTTGAGGGCTTGACTGAAGATTTACCTGCATGTGTGTGAAAGGAAACTACTGAAGGTAGGAAAAGAATCATTTTGAGTAAGCAGAACAATCCCTAACATCACACAGAGATAGGGATAGTTGGTGTGTAACCAATCAGACTAGAAAAACCTTGTAATGTATAGAGTATCAAATCGAATCCACAAGAGAATGATTTAGCCATATACTAAAGAGTGTTCCATAATCCACTCTAAACAGTTTAAAAGTAAGCCTTGAAATGATTGAACTTTAATTACATTTCTTTAAAAGATGTTGGATATTAGATCTTTAAAAAATATATAATCGAAGCCAACAACCAACAACATAACATTTTCATCATCCAATCTAAAATTTTTAGAAGTCCTGGCTTGCAAAACAAAAAGTAACAACAAAAATGAAACAGTAACTAAAGATACAGAAATAGAAAGTATCCCAAAGAGAGGAAAAAAAGACTAATCTTTAGGTGATGAAAATTTTCTGTATCATTGTAAGAGATACGATTATAATGCCAAGAAAAAATAAATATGGAATATTTAATGTATTCAATTAATACCAAAGAAAAGACAGTAAAGGAGAAACAGAAAAATGAAAACAAACAGAAAAAGGGCATAGCTAAGTACAACTATACCAAAAATTGTTGATATGCTTCTCGAATTTGCTTTCGTTCCATCCATGAGGGCGTCCCTAGAGATATCCCTTGTGACAGTACAACTGGCTGTGTTTACTTGAGAAGCTTAACAGTGTACCAGCCTGTGTTGCCTTTCCTTCCTTCCTGCATCACTTGTCACTTCACTTTTTCCCAACCTTTGTTGTCCTGGGTTTGTAAGTTACATAGAAGCTCTGCTTCAAGCTGGGAGAAGTGAACGATGGGGTGAATTAGTAGAAACAGCAGCTGCTATTACTAAGAACTTACTCTGTATGACACACTGGTTCATTTATGAAGCATAGGGTGAAAAAGACAGTCACCTACCTTGAGGTAAGTCTAATGAGACATACATAGATAGAAAACAATCACAAAACCATCTAACTGCTGGGCCTGGCACTGTGGCTCTTGCCTGTGATCCTAGCACTTTGGGAGGCCAAGGTTGACAGATCACTTGAGGTCAGGAGTTCAAGACCAGCCTGACCAACATGGTGAAACTTAGTCTCTACTAGAAATACAATAGTTAGGCAGGTGTGGTGGTGTGCACATAGTCCCAGCTACTCAAAAGGCTGAGGCAGGAGAATCAATGGAACCCAGGAGGCAATGGTTGCAGTGAGCTGAGATTGCACCATTGCACTCCAGCCTGGGCGACAGAATGAGACTCCATCTCAAAAAGCAAATAAACAAAAAAACTGTCTAGTGAATATGACTAGAATTTCGAAACCCATCAGCATTAATTTACAAATGATCAAAATTGTCACTAGTTGTGACATACAGGTACATCAGAAATTTTTTACTTTCTAGCCCTCGTGTGTACTGATTATTTTTCTATACCCAAGTTTAGACAACCAAAAACACATTATTGAGAATTACTATTAGAGAGCCTTCCCAGCTGGGAAGTTATTATCTCATTAATATTCCAAGTCAAGACATTGGTCAGGGATTGGTGTGTAAACGTCAGATTTTGTGGCAATTTTTGGATAGGGGAGCCAGGAGACTTGAATGCCTTGTGCAATATTTCACCTTTCTATAAAACCTTTGCTTTGGGTGAGCTACATTAGACCAGGTGGTAGCTTTGCTCTCTGCCATTGTGGTCACTGACCTACAATGTTTTAATAATTTATTTGTAAAATGCCGTGATATATGCAGAATGGAAAGTATTTTATTTTACATACCAGCTCTCATATCCTTGGTTTCTCCAAACACTTTGCAAAGTAATTAATTTAATTCAATTACTGGTTTCACAGTGACTTTGCAAGCAAATGGAAAGTGCCACATATACTTAGTAGTTTACATAAAGGTCAGATTTATTCCTGGGAAGAAAATATTAGATCCATGCAATTCACAAATATGTGTTGAAATCACACTATGTTTCGGGCACTGTTCTAAGCACACGAATCTTATAAATGAGAAACGCAATTTAAAAATAAATGAATCAAGGGAAAAATGGGATAAGGCAGAAAACAATTTTTATTGGGTGTTCCAGACAGAATTCCATGTGGATGTGGCATTTGAACTGAAACCAGAATGAGGCAGAAGAGGCTGCCAGTGAATACCTTGGTAAAGAGTATTATAGGCAGAAGCTACTACTGTGGTGTTTGCTAAACTATCCTCACGGTTCACTGCAGCATAGATACCTCTCATAAGGAAGCAAAGTTTACTTTATATCAAGGACCACAAGAGGAAGAAGGACTTACTGATCTATAGCTATCAGCCACCATAAGCCCAACCTCTGATTAATAAAACCACTCACTGGATTTAATTCCATTTCATGTCATTGAGATTACAGCAAAATTACTAACAATAAGGAGTGAAATCTGGAACATGGTGAGGTTCAGGTGTCTGAAATACCCAGGTAATGGACTCCAATTTATAGTTAGTAAACTGGGTCTCCAGTGTGCCTGTAGAATGACAGAGTAAGTTCAATTTAATGTCACTCTCCTACTCTTAATATATGGAAATGTGGAGTGCATTTTGAAAAATTTGGAAACACATAGCTGAAACTGAAAAGAAGAAAGGCACATCTCTACTTTTCAGAAGTTATGAGAAAAATAAAATCCAGAGACATGAAAGCAGGCAGATGCTCACAGGCTCTGGTCCTAAATCCAGGCCACATGCAGATAGGATCTGGGGCTGTAACTCTGACATCATCTGGAGGACAGAAGTCTAGACTCAAGATGGAAGAATATTGATGAGCTGATATAGAGGTTCTGTGTGAAGTCCATGAGGGGCTGTTGAGTCCATTAAAAGGGCCCAGAGAAGTAGCAAAGAAGATTGACATCTCTCTCAGGTCTTCAGAGAGGGAAAACAACAATAGCTCTAAAAAATTAGTTTTGTCTTTTTGAGCGTTGTGATAACCAGGTTGCCATTGTACGCTCTATATGATACAGAAACTGTAAGGTGAGTAAATAAAAAAAAAAAAAAAAAAAAAAACCTTGTACAGGGTGGGTATTGGAATAAATCCTAGGACCCCATCAGAAACAAAACTGAAACCATTTTAAAGGGAAATGTTTATAAGTCAGAGTACACAATATCTCAACCAAAAAGAAATAATTCTCAGGAAATGACTTTAGTTATTTAAATATTCCATGCATTTTCATAGCCATGTCATTGCGAAAAATTCTTAAAACATACACAAACAGTTCATTTACATGTCCCACCATCCAGAGAAAAATTCACTTGAGAACTGAACCTATAGGAATTAGAAAGTGCTGTATAGAGAGAAGGTTTTTGCTATTAAAAACTTGGACATAAGAAAGATAGTATCAATTGTTAATTATCTCATTTTTTATTTAAATCTTTTAGAACACAATAATAGAAAAATGTATAAATGAAGATTTGAATATTTAAAGATTTATAAGTCTCTTATCTATAAAGACTTCATAAGTCTATGTTTTAAAGAAAATCCCTGGGAGGTGCAAAAGTGTCTGGCAACAGTGTTTACTGGGCTTGAGAGAATTTCATTTGTATAAGATTCTTACTCAGCCATGAGACGCTTTCAGTAGCATCCCGAGTTTCATAGAATGACCCAACTATGTGAGGGATATTTTGCAAAAAGTTCTGCTCCATTTTTTAGCCTGCTCTTTGTGTTTGCATTTAAAGAAAAAATTCTGGGTTGTACATGATGCTATTACATATCCCTTATTCATGCATTAATTCATCCAAATAATATTGGAATTGAGATGCATCAGTTATATTCGATAAATAATATTCAGATGAATAAAAGTCTTTATTGTCATAATAAGCACTGAGAAAAATAATGAGAATGGAAGATTCTAGCTATGCAGAAACTTGTAATTGTGTTGAAGATATAAGATATTCTTAGGGAATCACAATTATATGGGACAGTCCCTAAGTTCAAAAATGAGATTTTATTGGCACAGCTTGAGAACAAAGAAGGGACAGTTTATTATGCACTGAGTATATTAACAAATGAACATTTGAGTTGTAATTTGAGATCGACTTTATAAAAAGAAGACTTAATTTGATATATACATAGAGGATCACGGCTATAGCATGTGCACAGCTAGTATGACCAATATCTATGTTTCTTATTAGTGACATTATTCAAAGATAAACCAAATGTAACTTTGCTTTCATGGATCCATCTCAGTATCCAAATAAGATGGCAAATCCTACCTCAGTAGCACTAGTGAATGATATAGTCATTAATGACGAGATTGCCAGGGAAAGGGGAAGGGTGAGGCTCATGTCCTACATCACAAGACATAACTTAGTAAATTCTATTTCTCTTTCTCCCTCCCACAAAGATCCTCTCCATCTCCCTGAACATCTGTCTACTCCCAACTCCTGCTAATACTCCTCCAGCCACCTTTCCAGATCTTCCTGGATCTCTTCATTTTATTTTTATTATGCCATAATTAAAACCTCTCTCAGGCTCTCCAGTTTGTATCACCACCAGTTGCTCCACAAACCTAAACAAAGAACACTTCTCAGGATCTACTCTCTTCGAAAGGGAGAGGCCATGAGAAGTGACTATAAATAATGTAAGTGGAGAGTTATGACTTGAAATACTGTACTATTTTTCCTGGTAGATAATAAAGCATAAATTCAGGGAACTTTGGGAAACTGGGAAGACCAGGAGCATTCACAATATTTATTGTGACTTCCAGAATAAAACACAGCCAGATGGTAAGCTCTGACAGGCTTTTTCAGAAGTTGCTTTCACACCCCTTGTATACATCAGTTGACTACAGGGGTGTTTGATAACCACGTCTGTTTCTTCTTTACTTTTTTCTTTCTTTGCAGGCACATATATGGCACCAGTCTTTCAAATCGTAAGAAACTTCCCATAGGTCCCTTGCCAGGCAAGGTTAAGCTGTAGATAAAAAACCCAAATAGATTTTTGAATAAGCTGGTTGGTTGAAAGCATAGGAAAAGAGCTGGGTTTTTCTTTTTTGACAGGCATATAATGAGTCACGGGAAAGTGGTTTAAAAAGTCAGTCTCATGTGAGGCCAAGGTTAAGAGAGAGACTCTAGAGGCCAGAAGAGCGAAGTAGCTACAGCAATCCACATGGTTCCAAGAGCAGGCCTTTATAACTGAGGGACTGATTTTTCCCACTATTTTTCCAGTAACCCAACTTGTGTCTATTAAGTGACCCAAGAGAATACAGTGTGACAGAGAAGGCTTTGATTTTCTTAGCCCCGAGTCAGGTATTCTCAGTTTACTGTCCACTCAAATTAAAAAGAGTTTTATAGGACGAACTGAATGGAATTGAGTGAACTCTTTTATTTCATCCCTTTACCTGGATATATTTTTTGTTTGTTTTCAACTTTCCACTGACATGCCTACATTAATATATTTTAAAGAGCAATTTGCTAAGTTGAAAGACTTTTTTTCACTATGTGCATTTACTATGATTTGGCAAAGCCAAATTAATTGGCCAAATTTGTTTCTATATCGCCAGAGATTATATTCTGAACTAAGTGAAAACTGGTGTTTCTTTGCTCCAGTGCTGAGCAATTGGAAGGCAGAACAAGAAAAGATACTCTATTAGTCCATTTTCATACTGTTAATAAAGACATACTTAAGACCTGAGAACTTTATAAAGAAAAAGAGGTTTAATGGGCTCACTGTTCCACATGTCTATGGAGGACTCACAGTCATGGCAGAAGGCAAAAGGTGTGTCTTATATAGCAGCAGACAAAAGAGAAAAGGAGAGCCGAGTGGAAGGGGTTTCTCCTTATAAAACCATCAGATCTGTGTGACACTTAGTCACTACCAGGAGAACAATATAGGGGAACTACCTCCATGATTCAGTTATCTCCCACCAGGTACCTCCCACAACATGTGGGAATTATGAGAGCTACAATTCCAGATGAGATTTGGGTGGGGACACAGCCAAACCATATCAGATACCTACCCATTCAGAGAAGGAAATTCAACCTCTGTAGCTGTTCCAGGTCCTTTAACTAAAAATAATGTAAGTTGCCATTAGTTCCCTAAAAATGTGCAGACTTTAGAAAGAGGCTTGGAACTTTCAGAGTCATGCAAACACTCTGATGTAAGAGTTAGAAACTAGATATTCCCTGTTTTAAATCTACCCAAATGCTTTTACTTCTTTTTTTTTGTTTCGTTCTCCATATTACTCTATATTTTTTTCCCTTGACGTGGCCTGCAATTTTATCTTTTTTTATGTCTTGCTTTTCTGTTAACGTAATTTTTTCCTTCTTTCTCATTTCAGTTTGCTAATAACCCATTACTCTGCAAGATTTTTATTACCTTTTTCTTTCTTATACTGAGATACTTGCAATAATGATGCTTTAGGAAATATTATCTCTTTACCAAGACTAAGAGTCTATTTCTATTTTTTCTAACCTTTAGATGCATTTTGGGAGAATCAGGGTGTATACCTGTACAAATCACAATTCTTTGGTTAAAGCTAAGAAAAATATACTTTTATTAACTTAAAAAAGAAAGGAATTTATTGAAAGGCTAAGGGAATCTCCTTTAACCGAGGAGGATATTGAGACAGTGGAGCCTGAGGCACAGATGGTTTCCAGGGATGCAGCAGGAAACCAGCAAGGGTTTATTCTTTCTCAGTGTCTCATACAATTGCAATTGCCTCCTCTTTCTGCTTTCTCACTTGCCTATACTACTGTTCTCTCTCTCTCTCTCTCTCTTTCTCTCTCTATCTCTCTTTTTCTCTCTTTCTGTCTCTCTCTCTTTCTACCCACCCTCTCACCCTACCTGTCTCTTTCTGCTCTCACTTCGTTATCTTTGCTTCTCCCTGCATACCTGCTTCGTTCTTCTTTTGAAGAATGTTTTTTGCAAAACTATAATGGTTTTGCAATCCCAACAGTATAAAATGATCTACAGATAACTCTGCAGTTTTTGTGCATGACAATGTTCCAGTTCCGAATTCTCTGGAAAAGGGTCCATTATCACATTTGGCTCAGTGACCACCCCTTATTTAAACAAATAGGCCTGGGGTAAGGGTCACATGGTATGAAAACAATTCATTCACTGAACTGTAGAAAGACAGGACACAGACATATTTTAGTATTATTAACTACCCCCAAAACTAAGTAGTATAGAACACCAACTATTAATTGTGCTCATGATCCTGTGGGTGATAAACTGGGAGCTTTGCACAGTGAAGAATTCATCTCTACTCATAAACGATGGGGGCACTTATAATAATTACACTGTGATAGGTTTGGCAGGGCCCTTCTTTTGTGCTTACACTTTGGCTGAGGTTTTTCCATTAGATTTATGCAATCATGGACCCCCCATTATTCAGCAGAATTTTGTTTGATTTGCTTTTGCCCACACTTTCTCTCAGCACTTTATTGAGCTTTTATAGCCTTTTTATTTACTTTATTCTCCATCATCACTGTGAAACAACTTTGTCTTCCTGTTCAGATGTTGAAAAGTGAACAGTAGCACCTCTTGAGCTTTACGTGTTACAGGTCAATTTTAGATGGCAGGGTCAGATACCCCCTACTACTTCCAGTGACATAGTCTGAGACATAATTTGATATAGGATGAACAATATGTTTTGTGTTGAAGTGTGTGTAGGGCTTATTATACCTGATGTAGTTCCAAACTGAAAAGATTTCAAGATCTTTATCTTTGGATAGTTTTTCTGTGGTGTTCCTTGGTGTCAGACTGTTAATGTGCAATCTGGCACCTGCAAATAATGTGGCTTTGGGAGCCAATCTTGTTTACTATGCTGCTTTGTCTGGGGAGAATCTTAAAGTCAAAACAGTGGTACAACCAGAATGACTGTTCTTTCTTCCAATTTCACTGCCCTAGTTTTTTCTTCCTAGTTTATCTGCAGTCCTCTTGGCCATTTATATTAAATATTTCTGCAATATATTGGATCAGGCATATTCCTGTAAACTATCACAATGTGGTCTGAAACAAGGGTATAAATGAATGTAAAATATATAATATAAATATATAGAGTTTAAGTGCAGTGTTTATGTTTTCTGTGCTGATGTCATTACTCCTCTTGCCAATAAGATTTGAATGAAAACACCAAAAAGGCAAAATCTTCAATTCTGAAAACTTAGTATGTATGAGTCAGGTATATAATTTATAAAGTCTTAGAAGTGAGGAACTGTCTTTTAAATTTAATTGCTAGTGTAAACAGAGTGGCATACACAAATAAGTACTTAATGAAAATTTATATTCTAATTTGGAATTCCTGTTTTTTTCCTTCTCATCTTATGATAATAGGTCATCCCATTACCTTCTGCTTAATGCTTCCACTTCATAACATGAGACATTTGCTGTGAACAAAAAAGAGGAAAAATTATTATTCCCTTTTTGATGAGGAGAAGGAATGGCAGAGAATATATAAGGTCAAACACCCATGAGGAACTCATAATTTTCTATCTATTTCATAGAGTGTTTTTTCTTTCAAAAATTGATTTTAAATTCCTGAAAGAATACTGTGATATGTTATTATGCCCATTTTACAGACTGAAGTTAGTGAATTTCATGGAAGTATGAAACTTGCCCAGGGTTATCCCATTAATAAGTGGCAGAGATGGAAATTAAATCCATATATATCTATTTCCAAAGCTTTTGCTCTCCTCCCCTCATCTGCTTTTCATAGCCAACAATTTCCTGCTTATGAATATGACAGGTTTCCCAAGAGCCAGTCAACAATGCTTTTTAATCAGCTTGAAAAATTACTGTTGATTCTCTAAAGACATATTTCTTTTCCATTCAGTGACTATAGTTGTCCAAACACTATTCCCAGAACCTGGTAATCATATGGATGGAGACCAAGAAGAAACAGAACTAGAGATGCCTCTAGCAATCAGTAAAGACTAGGCTCATTGGTGCCACCAAATGTTTTTCCCTCTAGACTAAATTAATCCTATTAGTAAGATCCTAACACTTTATAGTATTGCCCTTCCCTGATGACTTCCTCTTCTGCCCATCATTTTCTCTTATTTTTCCCCATATAATTATAATTACTTGTCAAGTTTTGATAAATTAAACTCAGTGACTGGTATTCAATGCAATAGTCACAAAAGTGGAGGCTACTAGATCCCAGCAAAGGGAAAAAATAGAGAAACATTATAATATATAAATATATGAATATATACACATACATAAAATCTACATACTATATGTGGCATTTCTTCAAACCTCTTTCAGTATCTGCATATTTTGTATATTAGAAGCAAGAATAGGAATAAGCATAGCATTCTGTTTACAAGACACAGAAAATAGACCCAAATATGGAAATCTTTAGCAATGAGAATAAGGAAGAAAGACTACAACACAAGATCGAGATGTTAATTTTTTTTTTTTTTTTTTTAGCTGCGATGCCAAATATTGCATTTTCAACCTAGGACAAGAATGCTGTAAGAAGATATAATGTTAGTTTTCTAGGGCTACCATAGCCAACTAGCATGGGATGGGTGACAAACCACAGATATTTATTTTCTCACGGTTCCGGAGGCTGGAAGTCTGAGATAGTGTCTCCAGGGTTGATTTCCTCTGAGGGCTCTCTCATTGGCTTATAGATTGCCGTTTTCTCCCTCTGGCTTCACATGATTTTTCTTTTGTGTATGTCTGCATCCTAATCTTTTCTTTTTAGGACACCAAATCACATGGATTAGGTTCTACCATGTGACCTCATTTTACTGTAGTCACCTTTTTAAAGGCCCTATCTCAACTTCCATAACATAAACAATAAAAGTAAAAAATAAAGGCTCCATCTCCAAAGCCAGCCACATTCTGATGTATTGGGGTTAGGACTTCAACATGAAAATTTGAGTGTTGGAAGGACAGTTTAGCCCATAACAGAAGATAGGGTTTTAAGAAGGTGAGTTACTACTTAATTTAAGTGAATTGCTTAAGTATATGAATGTATGCAAGAATAATAATAACAAGAATTTCCCTAACACTGTATATTACACAAAGAACTAAACGAATGATCACGACATCTTGATGTGGGCATTAAATGAAGCTAAGAGAGATTAAGCAATTTACCCAGAGTCATGTGGTTCATACTTGGCCAAATCCAGGACACGTATTTTCCCAGTTCCAACCTCATTCCAAAATTTGCCACAAAGAAACGATAATCACTTTCCAAGGGACCCCTCATCAACTATTCTCTATTACATATTCATTTAAATTTTTGCTGAGATTAATAAATCAGCATTTTTGCTTAGTTTCAGAAGTTACATGGGGATAGAATGGAATTGGAGATTGTTAGTAAACTTCCCACATGGGTAAATGAAGTCCAGAAACTTCAGTGATGTTTCCATATAGAAGACAACAAGAAGCATTTTGGCATCCTTTGCTTCATTTATCTCTCCAAAAACTCTGCAAGAATCCACTTTAAGAAGCCCGTGTGTTTTCCAAACTTTCACCAATGGAATGTTCTGGGTCATTTATGCTAATCTAATTAGTTTCACATTTTAATTCACTTTAAAACCAGAAATTCCCATTGTTCTCTGTGAGGAAATCAAGTGAAGATCCTAGCTGCTAATTTGGGGAAGTTTCTCTTCAGGACTCTGGAAAAACCCAAAACATATAGTAATAATTGTTGTTAATTATATCATGATTAATCAGACATCAAAAAGGGGCATACATTGGGATAAATGATGATCAGAAAAAAAGCATAGATTATAAATATTCAATATTGAAGCTACTTGAGAGGTTGGGGTGCACCTGAGCCTAGAGAGAGTAAGGCTGCAGTGAGCAGTGATCGCAACACCACAATCCAGCCTAGGCAATAGAATGAAACCCTGTCTAAAAAAAAAAAGATGGACATATGAGAAAGTCTTAGAATTTAAATCCCATTTTCAATATGGACATATGAGAAAGTCTTAGAATTTAAATCCCACGTTTCAGAAAAAACTTCTCAAAAAATCTCTAGAAACCCAGATCTATACTAACAATGGATTGGTTAAACAAACTACGTTATATTCATGCAATGAAAAAGATTATTAAAGAATGAGATACTCTTTTCTAAATGACTTATCGATGCTTCAAAAACAATGGTAAATAATAGTTTGTTTTGTTTTGTTTTGTTTTTTGAGACAGGGTTTCGCTCTGTCACCCAAGCTGGAGTGCAATGATTACAGCTCACGGCAGCCTGACCTCATGGACTCAATTAATAGTCCTACGTAGATCTCCCTAGTATCTGGGACTACAGGTGCCTGCCACCGTGTCTGAATAATTATTATATTTTTTGTAGTAATTATTGTAAATAATTATTTGTATTTTTTCACCATATTACCTAGGCTAGTTTGGAACTCCTGAACTCGAGTGATCTACCCACTTCAGCATCCCAAAGTATTGAGATTAAAGGTGTGAGCCACCATGCCCAGTAGTTTTTTTTTTTTTTAAATATGGTATTAGGCATCTTCATTTTGTCCTGAACTTATTGCTAATGTTAGCAAAGTTTTATCAATATCTTTAGCTGATACGGTCTGGATCTGTGTTCCCGCCCAAATTTCCTGTTGAAATGTAATCCCCAATGATAGAGGTGGGGACTGGTGGGATGCTTTCTCATGAATAGTTCAGCACCATCCCCCTAGTGCTTTTCTGGTGATAGAATTATCATGGGATCTTGTTGTTTGAAAATGTGTAGCAACTCCCCTGGCTCTGTCTTCCTTGTGCTCCAGCCATGTGAGACACCCCAGTCCCCTTTGCCCTCTGCCATGATTGTAAGTTTCAGGAGGCCTCCCCAGAAGCGGAAGCCACCATGCTTCCTGTACAGCCTGCATAACTGTGAGCCAATTAGACTTCTTTATAAATTACCCAGTGTCAGGTATTTATTTATAGCAATGTGAGAACAGACTAATATGCCTACCCCTTCTTTTCTGTTTTAAATATGTAATTCCTTCATGTCGCAGAAACATTCATCTATTCTGATTTATTAGTTTTTTTAATTAGAAATGAATGTTGCATTTTATAAAATACCATTTGATGATCTTTCAGATGATTGTATACCATTATTGTCTTTTGAGCATATTATATGGTAAATTATTTTTTGCTATATCAAGTAATTCATTATATATTATATTTACTATATCATAATTAAAAAGCAGCATTGTGGTTCAGAAATAGACTAATCAGTGGGAAAATAAATGTCTAAAATTAGATGAAATAATATAAGAGAATTGAAATTATAATAAAATTGACATTTTGGATCAGTAACAATAATTATTCAACAAAAGTAGAAAATATAGCTAATCGTTAATAATTTCTAGATATATTGACTACTCAAAAATATAGAGGCTGGGTACAGTGGCTCATACTTGTAATTGCAGCACTTGGATGGCTGAGGCAGGAGGATTACTTGAGGCCAGGAGTTTGAGACCAACCTTAGCAACACAACTAGACCCCCATCTCTACCACAGTGGGCATGGTGGAATGTGTCTGCTAACTACTCGAGAAACTGAGGCAGAAGGATCACTTGGGCTCAGCTGGTGGAGGCTACAGTAAGCAATGATTAAGCCACTGCCTTCCAGCCTGGGTGACAGAGCAAGACCCCACCTCTAAAAATAAAAATAAAAAAAGAAATAGAAATAATGGAGCTATAAAAGTACCAGTAGAAACCTGGTAGACTTGAATTTTTTTTTTCTTAGTGAAGCTATCTTTTTAAGCTAAAATTTTAAAAATAATCTTAATTATATAAGAATTTCAAATTTCTCCATGGAAAAACATACTAAAAAGAAGGTCAAAAACCAAGCAAAATCCCTGGGAAATATATTTAGAAATAGACATGCTTTCTCTGCATCTCTTGAGAGAAGCACATGGTTGTTTTCTTTCATCTATAATGTGGGCATCAATATAAGACACTGGTTCAGAGCATGAACTCTGGAGTTCTTGTCTTGATTCCACCACTGATCATCCATACAATCTCTACATCCTACTTCATCTCTATTTGCTTTGAAGTGGAGTCCTCACCTGAAATAGGGAAGCAAAATATGGTAGTGCTTCTCCTGGAGACAATAGGAGGTTAAAAGGAGTAAATATTTGTAAACCACGTGGGACAGAGCTTACCACAAGGGCAACACAACGTTGATGTTTGTCAAATTAAAAAAAAACTAAAAGATAAATAAAATACAGTGAATTAAATAAGTGTTTTCCTGATGTTAAACTACCCTCACATTTCTTGGATGACCCAACTCAGTCATGCTTTTTTCTCACTCTAGTGGACTTGGACAGCTAATAGAGTGGTTTAAACATTTTGCTTTTATATCCATGAGTAAATTTGGCTTGTAAATTTCTTTTTCATACAGTTCTTATCTATGTT